GGAGACATTCTTTCAGGGAACTGTAGGAAAAAAATCGCGCCTTTTGGTAATTGACCATTCAGCATCTACCACGGATCTCCAACTAGTGCTTCATACTACATTCGAATTTGCTCAGAAACGGCTGTTCAAAAATATTCTGTGTCAACCCGCACTTATCGCGCCTCATTCCGACCACACTCACAACCAACAGTCTGCTAATGTTGGCTTCTCCAGTCAAAAAAGCATCCTCTCAAAATTCAGGTTTCTACCTACTCAGGTTTCTCAGTTAGCAGTTCATCCAAAAAAAAAAATTCGTGGGCTTCAAAATTTTCAAAAAAAAAATCTTCAAAACAGAAATTCACTTCTGTTCGCTCAAATCTTGAGTCTCTAATTGCTTATACTATTTTCAATCGCGCAAGGAACATTCCTTCAGGGAACTGTAGGAAAAAAACGCGCTTTTTGGTAAATAATCATTCATTGTCTACCAGTGATCTCCAATTAGTGTTTCATACTAAATTCGAATGTGCACAGAAACGGTTGTTCAAAAACATTTTGTGTCAATCCGCACTTATCGCGCCTCATTCCGACCACACTCACAACAAGCAGTTTGCTAATGTCGGCTTTCCCACTTTAGTCAAAAAAGCATCCCCTCAAAATTCAGGTCTCTACCTTCTCAGGTTCCCCAGTTAGCAGTTTATCCAAAAAAAAAACCTTTCATGGGCTTCAAAGTTTTCAAAAAGTTCAAATTTTAAAGCAAAACTCTTCAAAACAAAAAATCACTTCAAAATTTTCAATACCAGCTCTTCATGCTCATTCTCCGTTTTGGCTGCTTGCTGCTCCTCGCTCTGCTGCGCGACATGTACTGCTGAAAATAGAACTGTATAGTAATCATTTTGTGACTACTACAACTACTATCATTTTGTAACTACTTGTGACTACTATAAGTTATTTTTTATTGGCACTTGTGGCTCAAGCTTGCCAGAACTGTCGGCCGTACTCGTATATCAGGTACACAACTGATCGAGCGAACGCAGCGTCCTCCGTCGACATATGCAAAAAACGCAGAATTAAAAGCTGTTTTTACGGCTGTCAAACACACATGGCCAGAGGTCATACGCGGGAAAACTAACCACTGAGTCGTATTTAATGCATTTATTCACAGAGATTTGCTGAAAAGGCGTTGCTGTACGGCAGGACTCAGTATTCTGAAGATATGCTTAATGGTGAAGAGAGCATTGAGAACGTAAACAGTGTCAGTGCCGAGCGTGACGGAATGGCACTGTCACATTATGAAAACATCGATGCTATTGACTTAGGTAGCTGTTTGATGGGCTGCCTGACTATATGAATCCTACAGCAGTGCCTTTTCGGTAAATCTCTGTGAATAGATGCATTCATTATGCCGGCGTAATGAACGCTTGTGTGTATGCGTGAGACGTATGTGAGGCATGAAAGGACATAAAAGTTGCAGCTCTCCAGCTCTTT